ACATATCACAGTAGCTGCTTGGGTCTCTGTGAGGGAATCTGCATCTTCTTTTTCTCATTAACTTGTGACTTACATAAATAAGGAATGTCACAAAGTGCTTATAGAACATGGTGTTCCTTCTCTCCCTTCCCTGCTTTAGGAGAAGATGAGCTGCTGTTTGTCTGTCATGTTAAAACATCCCACCTGGTCATAGCCCGAGTGCTGTGAGCTATTTCAGTGTACCTGCATATTGCCCTGGAGAATGTCAAATACCTCTTCTCAGGATCTTTGCAGCTTTTTTATTCATTGCTATCAGTAGTGTGAGGAAACTTTTTTGAAAAAAAAAAAAATGCTTCAAACAAGTGTAAGCCAAAGTAGGACATGCAGCAGGAAAGAAACTCAAAATATTTAAATTTATGTTTTACGTTAAGCTACATTGTGATATTTTTGTGGGTTTATCATATAAAGTGACATTTAATCTGTGGGGAGAATCATTGAGCTGCTTTTTACAGGAAGGCTATATGTCTGTCCTGAACTATGGATGGCTGTAAAGTGATGGGTCCTACTCTGTGAAAAGAAATGCCCTCCTTACGTAGGCCTGTGGGTTGTTCTTGGATTGAGTGACCTGAATAATCTGAGAAATGTTTTCTCTGACTCTGTCTCCTGGGAGCTGCAGCAGAAGAGGACATGGCAGTGGCTTGGAGGGGGACACTGGGCATCATTGCAGTGGACTGACCTTGTGAGCCATTTGTTCTGGTGTCCATATGCAACAGTAATGGCTTGTATCAGATGAAAATGTAAGGAAAGATAATGACTGCCACCCTGTAATTATTAGAGTCTAATTGTTGAGACATCAAGGTTTATACCATTCCTGTTTTTGGTGTTGTGTCCTTTCATTAATTGAACTGAACAGCAGGGTAACATATGAGGCTGTGGCATATATTCTTAAAAATCCTGGGCTCCTTCTGCCTTGCAAAAAATACCAAGTCTATGTCTGAGTTATGACTGCTCCAGTGGATTTTAGTATTTCTCACAAGTACTCCCTGGACAATGTAATCTTTCTGTTTATCCAGCCTTGATGAAATACAAGAGGAGTGCAAGCCTTCCCCCATTGTGGCCTATCATTATGCCACAAATCAGGAAAAGCCAATTTTAAATGCAAATTTTGTCTTTTTGAAAGGATTGCCTAGATGAAATGTGCTGAGTAGAGCTGCCTGCATTCTGAATGCTCAGAATGTGCTGGGTTTGGTTAAAATGCTATAATTTTCTATTACAATAATACAGCTGTAGGGGAATTATGTGGTAGCTAAATTCATATCAATTTTCCCAAGAATTAGAAACAGTCCTACTCAGCCCTAAAAGACAAAGAGGAATAAGGAGGTGATGGTATCCAGCAGGATGATCATAGGGCAGGTTATTTTGGAATGTTACCAAGAACTCATCAAAGTTGTGAAGCTGGACTTAACTCCCTAGTCCCAGTTCTAAATTGACAGGAGAAGACAGCAGAAAGAAGAGCTGGAGGATGGAAGATCACAAATAATTTGAAGATAAAAAAAGAAAAATGGAGCTTTTTTTTTCTTTTACATGCCTGAGGGTGAAAATGAGAAAAAAAAGGACAATGTTAAAAATACAAATTTCCAGAAAATATCTGCTGGAATGAAATTCTTTGTAATCTAGCTCTGAGGAACACATTGAGGTTATTGGGACTACACACCTTAAGAAAATGTTTAAATACTTTGATGCTTTGCTGTATTTGTGATATGGACAGAAATTACACAGCTGGAAAATTCCAAAGAATTAATGGAAGCAAAAAAAAAAGTGGGATGAGACTGTGATGAGCAGCAGAGAAGGCAGGGTTGAAACCTGCCATATTAAAAGAGGAAAGCAATGATGTGGCTGAGGTTGCTTTGTTGGAATTAGGGAAAAATAATCTTACACCGCATCTTGTATGTTAATTAGCAGCAATAAAATTAATTGTTGCTTCCAGCTTGAAACTGTGGCTAATTGCACTTAAGTGTTCATTGCAAGCTAACATAATTAGACCTTCACTGTGTTTCATAAATACACGGCTTAAATTATGCAGGGAGGGAGGAAGTGTCCTTTGTAGCTTTTTCCTGTCTTCCTTTCCTTCCACAGCTGTTTCTTAGCCTTCCTTCTTAGATGATCCTACTGTGTGTGCTGGAACTGATTATGGAGGCAATTTCTTACTGAGGCAGTTATGCTGGTTTTGTCCCTTGTGACAGACAGGTTCAGTGAGATCCAGCTTGGCAGAGGATTTCAGGAACTTCAGCCTTGCTGAAGCTGTGCTTTCATGTCTCTGATCCCCAGTACAGATCCCAAATGCCTAGTTTAAATAATAAGCTTTTGTAAAATGAGGGAAGAAGGCACTAAAAGCCAACAAGCCCAAAGATTTTCTTCCTTTCTAAAAATACAATTTCCTTATAAAACAACTGGTAATTATTTAGGTGATGTATGTTCCTGTGTCTGCAACAGATTTGTGTTGATTTCCCCCCCAATGTATAGAGGATAGAAACACATTATGCCTTTCATTACTTTTGGCTAGAAGTTGCAGTGATGTTCTCTATTGCTCTTTGAGGATAAAATGTTGTTCACCCATTCTCCATGCTTTCTCTCATGTCCTAATTTAGATGCATGCAGCTCCTGAAAATAGTCCCATTTAGCCTTATCCCTGTTTTTGTCTCTTCCACCTTTATTTTTGAGTCATGAGACTAAAAATGCAGACCACAGGCTGGGAAGCAGCCACTAGCAGAGAGCTGCTCTGATGGCTGGCTGGCAGCTGGAGGATGTGCTGGTTCTGTCACACTGCTGCCAGCAGACTTGCTGCTCGTCTCTCCAGCTCACAGGAGGTGTGGGATGTCACCTGCAGCTTCCCGTGGTCCCTGCAGGTCATTAGCTTTGCAGGAGCTGGAGGGGACAAATTTGGGAGTGGTTATGGCTAAAGGAGTGCAGTGGTGCCTGCCTAGAGAGAAAGGATGGAGGAAGGAGAGCTAATGGAGCATGAAAACAGCCATGGAAAGAGGAATGGTTGGAGATGAAAAGGCCATTCAGCAAAATAAGCAAACAAAGGAAATGCCCCAGGCTGTGGTTCCACTAGACTGAGCAAAATAAGTGAGCCTGTTTAGTAGGTGGTGGGAGGCAGAGGGGATCCCAGGGTTTAGCATGGCTGTTCTTCCCCTGCATTTAGCTGTGTGGCACCTTAATGGCCGACTTTGTCACAACAGAGATCTCCCACCTTGAGTCTCAGCAGTAGTTTCCTTTTGGTAGTTGCCATAATATTGTGCTGATTGATTTTCTAATGTTTTTATTACTCTGCCCCACCTCCTGTCCTGATACCTCGTGTAGTGCTGCTGTGCATTTGAACTCCTGTTGGGCTGAAGTGACTCCTGCCACCTTGGAATGCTTGTGGCTGTATCTGGGATGAGAGGGACAGGTCAGCACCATCTCAGAAGGTTTTGCCTCTGTGCAAAGCCTTTCAACCTGAAATAGGAGTGATTGTGTTACAGAGGAATGGTAAAGTAAGGACTGAAACTGAGATCTAGTTTTTGTGCCCCTTATTTGGGAAACTATGTAATTTCATGGCTAAGATTAAAGATGAAAAAGGTAACATCCTTCACAGACTTTTTAAATGGCATATCCATAAATGAAAAGACTGAAAGTCATTCAAGTAAAAAGGAGCCTCAGGAGTTCTTTACTCCAAACTCCAGCTAAAAGCAAGGTTGGCTGGTCAGAAGTCAGGCTACTCAGAAAATTATTGATTTGCTCCTTAAAAATGTCTCCTAGTGAAGGCTGCATTTCCCTGGACAACCTCTGTCCCTGCTGGAATGCCCCAAGGCAAGAAAGCTTTTCCTTGTGTTCAGGTGTATCCCTTCTGTTTCTATCTATGCTTGTTACTCCTCACCTCCCCCCTCAGTGCTGTGAAGAGCTTGACTCTGTGCTTATTGTAACATTCTCAGAGATGGCTCTCCCTCCAAATCCAATTCTTTAACCTGAGCAAGCCCAGGTGTGGGAATCCAGAGCTTCCCTCTGGCTGCCCTGGAAGGTCTGGGACCCTGGCAGGGGGTCAGGAACCCCCCTGGACAGAGCCCCCAGAGACACTGTCTGTGATCTCTGTCCATGGAAAAGAGTTTCCAATATTACAGGATGAATTACCAGCTCTGAGTGTTTGATATAAGTAATAATTAAGTGTGGCAAGGGGGCAAAAGTAAAATTTTAGGATTCTAGGTAGGGGTCCAAAGGGCACAAGACGGAGGAAATGGGGTGTGTCTTGTCCTTTTTCTCCTTTTTCATGCCCTCCATGTTTCACTGTAGTGTTGGATTTTTTCTATTGGTTTAGGCTGGGGACACACATAGGTGATAGATACTGGCACATTATTGTAAATATAGCACAGGTAGTTTCTGGTATTTAATGTTTGTAACATCCCACTGAGGGCAGAGCCCCACACGCTGCCCTGCAGGACAGACCTGTGGCAGGGCAGTAGAACATGTTAGAGATAAGCAAGAATAAACAACCTTCAAAACAGCACAGACAATTTATGACTTCTTCTTTGGCAACAGGGCAGAAAGACAGAGACTTTCTGCAATCTCGGAATCATCAATACATCAGATTCCGATATCCAGGAGCCTTAGTCTGTTCTCACAGGGTGAGTGCTGCAGGCACCAACCACACAGTGACCATACAATGAATTTGTTCCAGCGGTGCCTTGCACCACTTTTCACTCCATGTAGTTGCCTGTGTATCCAAAGTGAAGTACAGGCTTGGGTGTGTGTCTGTTTTGGGGCACAGTGTAAAGAGCTAAAGCTGAAGTACATGACATGGGTTGCTCTCCCCTTGTGCCCAAATTCACCCATTTTCACCAGGAAGGCCATCAGATTGTTAATGAATTTTGTTATTTTGGTAAACGCAACAGTGCTAAATTTAACAAGGCAAGAAACCAAAGCGTTGCTCTGTTCTTTGTGCAGGAAAGGGAAGTGGTCAGAGCACCAAGCCTGCCAGAGTCCACTGAATGTTTGGACAGTTCTCTCAGGCCATGAGGTGATTCTTGGGGTTGGTCTTGTGCAGGACCATGATCTTTGTGGGTTCCTTCTAACTTCACAATATTCCACGATTCTGTGATCGCTGCACCTCCAGTGCTGCTTTTGAACGCATTAAATTCCAAGTGCCACCATTCCTCATGGATTTCAAGCTGAGCAGTGGTTTGTTTTTTTGGGAGGCTGACCTCTAGTGTCTGTGTAAGACAAGCTCAAGAGAAGAGGAATAGCAGAGGAAAGTAGTGAAGCCCAAAATATGTCTGCATTGACTGGCATTTTATGAGCCTACAAGACACTTTAATAATAGAGCAAGTGTTGCTATGGTGTCTTGAGGTGTACTTTCACTGCTATGGCCACATAAGGATTCCACAGTATTTTTTTAATCTTTGTTTTAATTACTGAGTTCAATTTTTGAAATTGTGGTGACCTTTTTCATTTTTTTGATTATGTGGTGTTCTGTGAGATTGAAATATTAATTGAAGCAAGAGCTTTCTTGCTCTTTCTTGAGAAGAAATCAAATAATCTCTGAAGCCCCAGCTATATGCAAGATTTGATTAAAAGTCTCATGGAGGTCACCAGCACAGCCAATGCTGAAATACAATTATTTTTTATACATAAAAAGCATGAGCTTAGCCTTAGAAGCCAGACTGAGATATCTATTCTGCATGGTGGGTTTCTCTCTCTGCCTATGTAAAAATCCAAAACACTGGCAGGTTTTTATTGCTTCAGGACAGAGTCCACAAAGCCATTATTCAGCCCTGAGGAATCTTGGCCACTTTCGAATTCCTGTTGGTTTGGCATCATTGTCCATCTACTCTCAGCTGATGTCTGGGATAGTGGAAAAGGTGCTTGATTGTTTTGCTGATGCAAAGGTGCTTGTAAAGCAGGTGTTTGTTTATTGAGCAGAATGAGAAGTATTCCAGTTCTTTCTATGGAATTCCAGGGAAAGCTGTTTGTTCCCTCATCTGAATACTTTCATGTATATTATGGATTTTTATTATTTTTGTGAAATAATTCCAGCTGTGGAATGGTAGAGAGAATAAATTTTTGAAACAAGAATGAGATCTTCTCCAGAACTTATTTAAAAAGCAACAAAAATCACTGGCTCACATAATGTCCACAGGCAAGCAAATACCTTCTGTTATTCTGAACCAGTCATTGCTGCTGTTGGGAGGTTCTTGCAGAAGGCTGCTTTTTCATACAGTGCATTATTCCCATCCCACACCAGCTCAAACAGCCTGAATTTTTCATCTTCTGGCAATGGTGCTGGACATTTATTTATTTTACAGGAAAGCTGCTAAGAAAATCAATCTTCCCTGAAGGGCTGCATACTGAAATCATGCCTAGAAATATCTGCTTTATTTTTACTGCACAGAACTTTAGTGGCTGGTGTTTTCAGAGATGTTAGTTTGACTTGTTTATGTTGTTTTCCTTAGGCATCAAGCTGAGATTACTTTAAGAAACAAATGAGCATGCATTTTTCACAGAGAAAGTAAAATGTAAGTAAGACCAGACAATTAAGGAGTTCTAGAAATGTAGAGGTAAACCTGTTTATGCCCTTGGAGCATCACATTCCATGGCAATATGACTTTGTAGCATGCTTGAAAAATATGTGTTACTGCTATTTGCTGTCCACTCCTCACTCAGGCACAAAATTTCTGTTATTTTGGCATGTCTGATTCTGGAAATCATTACATTTGGGATGATTTTTTTTTGTGTGTGTGCTGTAGTGCCTATCTCTATAAAAGGAGATATTTTACCCTTATAAATTCACTCCCTGTATGTGCTGTTAAAACTAACCTATGGCAGCCCTCAAATTCTGGTTTCTAAACCAGAAGGGCCTACCTTCTTGCTTTTAAGCAGGGTTTAATTTTTTTGGCTTTGTGATTCTGTGGTAGAAATCAGATCTAAGGTTCAACCTAGTGTTTTTTATCAGTGAGGCTGAATAAAGTGGATCAGCCTCATCATCTCCATTTCTCATATACAAATAAAACTTTGACACTGTTAATTATTTCAACTGAATCAAAAAGTTTGTGGCCTATATCAGAAATTATATAGGCTCAAAAAAGCAGAAAGATTTTGGGATTTTTTTTTTTTTTGTGAAGCCCTTTACTTTGCCAAAGTATATGAAAGTTGTTGCAAAATTTTGCTTTTGAGAAGAAAAAGTTGTGCTGCATTAGGAAAAATCCCATAAGTATGGTAGGAAATGTTACCTAAAGACAAAACTGAAAAGTTTAAGGTTGGAGTTTTTTAGTGATTGAAATATTTTTTTTTCTACCATACCCTTGATCAGATCCAGAGCAGCCTCTGCACAGAGGTGGTGCCTTTTTAGGCTGCACTGTTTTTGAAACAGATCTAAATCCTATGTATTTATTTTGGGTTTAGCTTGTAGGTGATATCTATCCTTTACTTGTTGTCTCTGAATTTTCTCTGGAAAAAATTTGGTCGTGGTAGTGTGATTGTGCTTTCTTTCTCTGGCAAGATACTGGTTTCATCAGCTGAATTTTTATGTTCCGGGCTGTGTGTGAACAGTTGTTGAATGCCTAGTAAGACTTCCATTTGCCAAGCAAATCTACTTCTAGTACTTAAAATTCAAGATCACGTGAAATCTTTGCTGCTGGAAGATCTATGCTCAGTAGAGCCTGTGATAGTTGGCAAAGAATACTTTAAACTCTAGGCTGCAGCCAGAGTTATAACTGCAGAGGAATTAAAGCACAGTTTTCATCATTGTGCTATTTCAGGAGAGAAAAATTACTCATAGAATATTTGTTTTTTAAAAAATATATAGATCATACTGATAAGATTAGATAGCTTGCTCTGCCAGCCTGCTTGACAGTGAAAATTATGTAGGCTATGGCTTGAATATGGAGTGGAATATATTAATATTGTTGACTTGCTGAGATGTTCTGGTACCTTGCAGTGCAAGTCTTTGCTAAGTTTAAGTCCATAACAGTGGTTTGGTATAATTCCCCTAGCCTGGTTATCATAAAAGATATCAGGACATGTATTCCCTAGCCTGGTTATTGTAAAAGATATCAAGACATATATCTGTGTTATACAGCTTAAAATCTGTGTGTCTCACTGTCTGCCAATGTTTTTCTTCTCTTGGTAATAAAAAAACCTCACATCATGAGGTGAGATTGCACAAAGTGTTTCACAAAGAGCAAAAGAGTTGAATCCACTCCTAACAAGGTGATAGCCCCATTTATAAGGTAAAAAGTATTTGGTGCTCCTTTGCACTGATGAGATTGCTGGTGCTGCTCTTCATTTAATTGTGAGCCACATGTCTCATTAGCATGTGGCTCTCTGGATCTGTCAGGTTAAACATGCTGCACTTTGAAACTGCAATGTTTCTCTGCTCCACTGCTGTTCCTCAGCGGGAGCTGGCTTGAATTTTCCCCATGTACTTTTCCACCATTCCACTTTTCCCAATTTCAGGCACAGGCCTTCCATTCTTGAATTTGCCCTTCTCGAGTCCCTATTCCTCACTTCAGAAAAAAATACTTAAGACAAGAAGTTTTCTTGCTGTGCTCCCGTGGGATTTGAGTTCTTGACATACGAATGTGCTAAAATTCAGAATTTGTAGGTGTGCCAATGGTTATTTTAATTGCTGTGCAATTGCATGGGAAGTAAACACATCAGGGCCTGCAATTAGAGACTCAGTAAGCAGTTGAAAATGTTCTTCTAATTTTTCAGGTGCATTCCCAAAGGCACAGGTATGCCTGCTGCAGCATATTCTTATGACTCTGAAGTGTACAGGGGGAACTGACTTTGGCATGCACGGGTAGGCTGAATATTTCAGTTCTGGAGACAACAGCAAACATGCATATTTTATGTTGAGTACAAATTAGCCATGCAGGATATCAAATGAGTGCCTGAGGGAGGGTGCAGACTGCTGAAATTAGAGTCTGAATGAAATCTATTTAGTATTAAACCAGTCAAATCCTGAGCTGGCTTCTCCATTGGTGTCAATCAGTCCAGCTCCATTAAGTCCGGTGGAGCTGTGCCTCTGTGTCTTTCTGGGGAAGAGGCCAGCTCTGAATATTTTCAGTAAACACAGCACAGTTCTGTTAAGAGAGGAAAAATGCCTTTCTGTGTTATTTGGGCTGTAAATTCACTCCACATTTCTAAATGAGCTTTGTGCCTGGTCTTTAATCAGTCCTGAAGGGGCACTGCCTGTTGTCATGGAGAGCTACTCAAGGTCTGATGGAAGAGGAAGGATCTGAATGGGGGCCAGGCAGGATCTGGTTGGATGCTGAGCCTCTATCCTGCCAGCTGGCATGGGAAGTGCATGTCCTTACCATGGGGGAGACCTGCGCTTCCTCTTAGAACATTCTATGAGCTTTCCTAGCCTTTAATGGCCACAAATTGTGGCTGTGGACTCAGGCTAGCTTTCTCAAAATTAGCCAGAGGACTTTGAAGCTTACAAGACCTGTTCCTTGTTAGCAGGACTCTGGGTCCTAAATATGCAAGATTTAAAATTATTAGTAATATCTAATAAAAAGTGTTTTAGGTTTAAACCTTCATTCAGCATTCTCTAATTGTTGGAGGGAAGTTTTGGTTTTCTTGAACATTTATGAGAATATTTAACCTTAAATAGCTGCTGAGAAAGTAGGAAAGTAAAACAGGACCTTATAGATGCAATAAACATCACTTCAGCACCAAAGTCCCAGTGCCCAGAAAAGTGTGTGGATCCTGGGTGAGGTGAAGATTGGAGGGACCTTACAGTGCCATGAGGAAAAAGAATAAGCTGGAAAAGAAAAACTACAAAATCTGTAGTACAAACACCTTGGTGGTGTAAAAGCAAGATAGTGAAGGGCACCATTCTGAGGAAAATAAAATCAGCATTAGTGTTACATTTGAGAAAATAACCCAGTCAGGAAATAGAAATATTCCACAGCCATTTTGTTCTCCACACTAATTTTCCTTCAGCTGTACTATTTTTGGTGTTGTTAGAGCTGTCTACATATGATGCTTCCAATTTTCACTGTAATGTGGATATTTTTATTTTGAATTACTGGCTCTTATTTTTCCTCTGTGCTTGGGTGCATTTGCAGGTGAAATATCTCTCTTAGTGTGAGGCTGCTCTTGTATCCCAGCTGGGATTCAGGAGCTGGATTCATTTTCCTGAGCAATACACAACTGTTTTGTTTTGCTCCTTGAAGGTGCATCAGGGGTTGTGGAGAAATAGGAAGGCAACCACAGACATAAAGAAAGAAAAAGGGGAGAGAGGCAGCTGTAGATGCAGTGTTGTTGAATGATGTGAGAGTATTCTGGGAACAGGGTGGTTTTAATGTATTAGAAAGGCTGATAGAGACTCATTTGGTCATTTAAAGATCTTTAAGTTCCAAGAGCCTTGGCAAGTTTAATTTGCTCTGGTGTATATCCGTGTCTGTACACAGAGCAGTAATAAAACCAGAGTAACTCTTGTTTCAGTGTGTCATTTAATATGGTTCCTGGATGTCAGGGGAATTGAGAGTAAAATCTTTTTCTGGCTTCCAGAGCAAAGGCAGCACCATTCTGTGCCATCAACAAAACCCCAGTTTAAATGGCAGCCCCCGCAAGGCCATTGCTAAAAGGAAAACCAGGATATACCCTTTTTTTGGAAAATCAGAAAATAATTTTTTTTTCTTGTAGGTAATAATTAGTGCACTTGGACTTTTCAGTTGGTTCCAGTTTGAGGGGGATGAAGGCTCTCTTGCACTTCCTTGGCTCTTGGTATTCCAGCTTTGCCACTCTTGTAAAAAGGAAGCATTCATTTAATTCCCTCTCTTGGAAATCCTGGCTAAATAATGCCTGTGGTTTTTTGTATCCAGCTTTCCAGACATCTCAGTGTAATATCATACTTTAGAAGTATTTTTAAAAAAATTGATTGGAATCATTATGTCTCTGTGGGATTTCTGGTAGTGATACAGAAATCTGTTCTGTTCTGGAGAGACAAAGTTCATGTTATGGTTGCTGTGTTTTTTGGGGTTGTGTTTTTTTTTTTTCTTCCTTTGGTTTTTAGCTGCTGGTGGTTATAACTCTTGTTTAGTTTTTCACTAAAACCATTCCTGTGGTTTTTTGCATCCTACAGAGTGGGTGCAGTGCAAAGCAGAATATTGTTTCTATTCAGAGGTCTGGATCCATAAACTCTGAATCCAGCACAAAACTTCAGTTGGCTTTGTACTTTTCCCACAGTTGTTCGGAGGTTATTTTCTCTCTCCCTCCCTTATTGTTATTATTATTTTTTTTTTACTGTTACTTTCTGGGATTTTGCATTACAGAATTATTTCATGGCAGTGTTGAGCTTCTGACAGCTCTATAAGTGTGGTGCTCTTTGTAGACCATTTAGGCTTGCTGGGTATGAGCAAAGTGCCTCCAAGATTCCCAGTATTCTCTCAAGATAAAAGGCATAAGGAAGTTTTTTTGGGCTGGGAATTTAACTAAATAATAGAAAAGAAAATGATATTATGCAATAGCACAGCTTTTGAGTAATTGATAATCAAATTTATGAGAA